GAGGAAAATCCAGCACTAAACTCAGAAATGTGTGTGAGATGACGCTTATGGCTCCTTCATCCTCTCACCTGTTTGATCTGCAGCCCCCATTAAATATTTGTGCTGTGGCTTACAGTGAACAAATTCCTGTATAAATTCCCCACTCCTGTCCTTCCTCTTCTTGCCTCTTCTCACCTTGCAGCACCTTCAGAGCAGCAAACATCCCAGAAGGGTGGCTGGAAAATGTTCATGAATCTCTGACAGTCCTTTCCTGTTTCCTGCACTGTCTAGGTTCAGAATAAAGTGAAAACCAAGTGGGAGGACTTTGATTTGGGGTTAGAGTTTGCAGGACAGTGATGAAGGTTTGTTTCTTTGCAGGAGGACTGCAGGTGTATTACAAATTACGGATACAGCTCCTGTATAGTCCTTGAGGAGAGGTGAGCACCCTCTTACAGACACACACATAGCTCTGCAGGCACAGGGCTGCCAGTAGAGCCTGGAAATAAAGGGCAAAAACATGCAATGGCTTGTGATGAACAAAATGTACTTTGCATTTTATTTCAGCAAGGAAACAAAACAGGAGGGTCTGCTGCGACTGACCGTGTGTTAGTTCCTTTTGCCTTCTTGAAAGGTTGGAGGATAGGCAGATATGGGCACACACAAGAGCATTCCCTTCCTCTGTGTGGATGAATTTTATTTGGAACATACTAGGTTTTTTTGTCCTAACCCCCCCCACAGATGTCTCCAGATGTTTATCTCTGCTGGCAGGAATTCCTGCCTAATTTAATAGCAGTGGTGCTGTTTCTACAGCCCTGTCTCTGTGGGCCATGAGTCCGTGGACACACACCAAGGTCACTTGTTCTGCTGCCCACGAAACTTTGTGCTTTATTTCAGGAGTGAACATGGTTTCCATGATGACTGCTCTGTGGCAAGTACTTATTCCCATGATTATCCTGTCCCACTTCTCAGCATCGCTGCCATCCCGGGAGAGGTAAGCATTTCTCCTGCCTCTGCTTCCTTTATCTCCATGGTTTATGTTCAAAGAGCCTGCTAGCTATAAACCCAGCCCTTTATCTCCCTTCCTTAACTTCCATCTGCTTGGCTGGGGATTTTTTTCTTCCCTAAATCGATTTAGTTAAATGAGTGCAAATGTTGTCAAGATTTTTTTTCTGCTTAAAAATGGGAACATTGATTTGACTTAATTCAGGAGAAAAATGAGGATATCCAACAGATCAAAAAAGACACTTTGGAATCTGTTCTTCTGCTGTGCACTTACACAGCCTGACAGAGGTGGAAGTCACTGTTTCAAATTGCCTGGTCCCCTGAAAACTTAACCACAAATAGCCAACCCTGTAAGTTCACCAAGTTCACCAAAGGAGCCACCTATGAGGGCTGTTCTTTGGTGCTGGCACTATCTCCCTGTTCCTCAGGTTTGTGCCTCTGGGTGTTTATTTTATTACCTCTCCAGCCTCTTCCCTACTCGTTTGTGCTGAACCAGCACTAACTCCACAGTCTCACACCTTGTGGCAAGGCAGTTACATCAGTGAGGAGCAAGCGTGGGTACATTTTCTCTGTGGTGGCCAATAAAGATAGGCTTTAAACTCCTGTAAGGTTTGCCCTTTGTTGTGAAACTTTGCCAAACTGGCACAAATTCTTGCCCGTGTATGTTTGGGACCCTCTTTCACTGAGGGAGCAGTTTTAAATGCTTGTTTTTCTCTGGTTTTAAACCGTTCCTTTTCTCCTCTTGCTCCTCCTCCCTCCTCTCAGGCTGGAGCGACATGCTGATGGGCTGTTCCACAGCGAGCTCAGCAAGATGAACGGCAACGCCTACGTGCGGCAGCTGGTCAAACACCTGGTGGGCCTCAAGGACAGGTAAGGACCAGCCACATCCGCCCCCCTGGGGTGTGCAAGTCTCCAGTGGGAGTCTCCAGCAACAAGGGGGTGCCCATGGGGCTCAGCCCTCCAGCTCCAGAGCCAGCCTGAGCACTGGCTGCCCAGGATGAAGAGGAGAAGGGGAGGGACACAGGGCTGCTTGGTGGTGGGGAGAGACATTTGTGTGTCTTGTGGTAAGTCCCACACCCACGGCTGGGAGGAGCAACTGTTGTACTGTGTTTTCCCCCACACAGGTCCCAGAGACACTCAGATGGGCTGTTCACCAGTGAGTACAGCAAAATGAGAGGGAACGCTCAGGTTCAGAAGTTCATCCAAAATCTCATGGGCCGCAAGCGCAGGTGAGAGGAAATCTGGGTTGCACAGTCCCCACCTGTGGCTCTGACTGCCAGGCTGGACTGGGCAGGCTTTGGACATAATCATATCGATGGCCAATACAGGGCCTTTGATCCTGCCAAAGTACAGGGCCACCAGCCCCTGCTGAAGCCACAGCTATGAACACAGTATCATAAAACACATGGTGCATGTGGTGCTCCACAGCTGTGGTGGTTACACTATTTGTTTGGGGTTTATTAATTATTATTAATTTTCTTTATCTAAACCAGCTCTCCTGGCCTGGTCAACACAGATGTGCAGGGGAGAGAGCAAGAAAACAGCCCTGAGGAACTTTGCTTTCTCTGGCTGTACCAGAGCTTTCTGAACACCAGGTGGGTGGGACAGATCTGTCACCTTTGCAGCCCTGATCCCCACAGTTCTGAAGCCAAAAGAGGACTGTTAGAAATGGCCCTAGAAAATCCAGTTATTAATGATAATAAAACCCGGGGAAATTAAATAATTTATTTTTCTAATCATAGAGTTGTCATCCTGGACTGAAATAAATGTTCATCCCATTCGGAAATCTGATCTAACAGTTAAAATGGAAAGTATTTACTGCCCTGCCTGGATTCAGTTGCTGATTCAAACACACACCTTGGGATGGGCTGTCTGGATTCAGTTGCTGATTCAAACACACACCTCGGGATGGGCTGTCCCAGCACCTGGATATTGTCTTTTCCTAGTGACCAACCACTTTCCCTCAGACATCTCACTCTTAAATCACTAAAATTAGGAGGAATAAACTGGCCCTTAGTGCTTCTTGCCCACAATGAGGATGACAACACCTCTGTGCACTTGTGGGGTGCCTGAATACCTCTGTCATGCATCTGCTCCTTGGAGTGATCTTTGGATTTCACAAGGTGTCACACTTCCTGCAGTCCATGCCCCTGGGAATAATGACGTATCCCATTGTTCCTTCCCACAGCCGCTCAGACAGAGATGCCAGGGAAGCTGCTGCAGTTACCAGTCAGTACCTTTGCCCTGTCTCTGCCTCTAATCAGCTGTTTGGAGACATGAAGGAAGATACAGATGGTTCCGACTGAAAGTGAAGGGAAAGAAACAGCCAAGGAGACAGCTTTGCATGTGTATGGCCTTCAAAATAAGCAGGGAAGCTCTTGAATTTGCTTAGGAGAAACTCTTGAGATTGGGAAATATATAAAAATAACCTGGAAAGCAGCCAAACCCCAATGAAAGCTCTTAGATTATCCGAAGTGAAATGTATGTGGATGTGAACTGATGTCAGTAGATGGAGCCTGCATGAAGCACATCCCTTTGCTGTGTGTTGGCCCCTGGCTGCCTGCCGCTGAACCCCAATAAAGATTGGTTAGCTGTGTCTGTGCCTTGGCTGCTCTTTGGGACACTGGAATCAGGGGTGGTACCATTCCAAGGTGTTGGATCACTAGGAATGCAGGGTCACGGAAAGGAGCATTTTGCCAGGATCTCCCCAGATGAGGCATATCAGGACACATGGCTGGGATCAGGCCTGCCCACAGTCCAGCTCTACACAGAGGCCAGAATCAGGGCTCCATGCAGCAGGAACTTAGTCAAGTGCTGGACTTCATGGCAAGGAAATGTACTGAGAGCTACACAGCTGAGATACTCAATGAAAATGTTGTTTCCACTCCATTCTGCCCCTGGATTTGCTGCCCCAGCTCTCTCAGAGCCACTAAAGATGAAGCTCCATGAGGAGGAATTTGTTCCCACCATTTAAAGAGGTTTACATGTTATCCCTGTACCACGCTGCCTGGCAGATTCCCTCCACTGACAGAACAGCCAGTCCAGGTTTCCAAAAACAATGGAGTTTGAGAGCAGCTCTAATATAAGAATTTTTGGGTGTAATGATGTGTGTCAACTACAGCTCTGCTCAGCTCACCCTGCTCCAGCAGTTTTCACCATCTGTGATATACCTGGTGCCTGCAGAGGAGCTATACCCTCACCTAAGCACCATTCCCTTACAGAAGTGCTGAACAGACCTTGGCAGTTGTTTATTTTGGTCCACAGAAAGTCTCTGCTAGGAAAGATTCCTCTTGAAATACTTTTGGAAGGAGTGTTGTCAACCTGGATTTCATTCAACCACTAACAGCCACCTGGCTGAAACGCAGCAGCTGAGAACTTCCTGAAGTCAGTTGGGATTTTAAAAGGAGCAGTGGGAGAAGCAGTCCCCTGGAAGCTTCAGAAAGCTGCCGAGATGTAAATAAATGGAGATTTCTGGGAAGCACCCCTTCAAGGAGCCACTGATAGAAGGAGATGTGTTTTCCCTATGAAGTTGCTGGGCAATCCCTGGGCTGCAGCTGAGCCTGGTTGCTGTCAGGATCCACCTGCTCACCTTGTGGGGTACAGATCCCATCTGTGGTACATCAGAAACCTAAACTTGCCCACGTCCTCCCTTGCTGGGAGAGGCTGGAGTATACAGGCAGCTTCCCAAGTGCCAGCCTCATCCTTCATGCTTGTCTCGAGGGGCTTGGCTCTGAGTTCTGAAGTGCTTCAAATGCTTTGAATACAATACTGAGAGCTTAAGATAGGAAAGACTCAGGGGAAAGAGAAGAAACAGGAATTCGTGTGTCATTATGTGCCATGACTGGTAAATGTTTCAATAAGTCACCCAATGGGGCAAAGAGGCAAAGGTTGATCCCAGCAGTCCAGCCAGCTGCTGTTCGTGCTCTCACACAGCACTGAGCGCAGAGGCAGCACTGGGAGGAACGAGGAGAGATCAGCTCAGTCACAAACTGGGAGTTTTCAGGGACTGGCAGCTGACCATGGCTGTTCCTCGCTGGCTGCTCATGGCTGTGCTCTTTCTGCTGCCCTTGGTGACACAGGTCTCGGCACAGGCTCAAGGTAAGCCCTTGTGGGAGCTCCACGGCCACAGGGATAACCCGATGGCAGTGGGTGGCTCCGTTTTGGGAGGGAGATTGTCACACTCTGAGACAGCTTTGCTCAACCACTTCTCTCCAGCAGTGACCACAGGGGGTTTGGGTCTCACCTCTTCCTCCACAACGTGAATCTTCTTTTGTGTATTTTGCCAGGGTGTTCTGTCGGTAACAGCAAACCCAGTGTTCCTGAAAACAACCCTCCTAACTACCTGGTGACCACCATCCATGTGGCTCCAGGATACACTGTAACCATCGATCCCAATTTCTCTGATAGCAAATACTTCACCATCCAGGGGACTGAGCTGCAGCTGACAGAGAGTGTGGACTATGAGGTAAACCTTTAGGTAGCAGGCTGTAAAGATGGGATGGATAATGCAATAGCATCTTGGAGTTCCAGGGATTTCTAACCTGTTCCTAAAGGAAATAAGTTGTTTCAGTTGTGTGAGCTTACTGTTTGGGAGGGCAGACCTTCCACCAGCACAGTGCAAGGGGGAGAGAGTGTGTGGTGTGCCTGCTGTCACCCTCCTTCAGTGAGTCTGGATGAATTGAAGCCAGGGGAAGTTTTAAAATCAAAACAGTGACAACTGTAGAGTTCTGAGCTCTCCAGGACTTATGCAAAATGATCCCTGTTTGCTTGTGGAAGATACAGCTCTGAGCTGGGAGGTGATCTGGGTTAGGGCAACCCCCAGTACCAGTCCAGGTTGGGGGATGAACAAATCAAGAGCAGCCCTGAGAGGAGGAATTTGTTGGTACTGGTGGCTGAGAGGCTGGACATGAGCTGGTAATGTGCACTGGCAGCCCTGAAAACTCCCCCAAGTCCTGTGCTCATCCCCACAGTGTGGGCAGCAGGTGAGGGGAGGATTCTGCCCCTCTGCTCTGCTGAGGTGAGATCCCACCTGCAGTGCTGCCTCCAGCTCTGGGATCCCCGGCATAGAAAGGACATGAAGCAGGTGGAGAGGGTTCAGAGGAGACAGTGGAGATGATTAGAGGGCTATGGAGCACCTCTGCTGCGAGGAAAGGCTGAAAGAATTGGGATTCTTCTGCCTGGAGAAGAGAAGCTTTGGGGTGCCTTAATTGCTCCTTCCAGAGTTTGGAGGGAGCCTACAAGAAAGATGGAGAGAGACTATTTACAAGGGCCTGAAGTGACAGGACAAAGGAGAATGGCTTCCCACTGCCAGAGGGCAGGGTTAGACTGGATATTGGGAAGAAATTTTGCCCTGTGTGGGAGATGAGGCACTGGCACAGGTTGCCAGAGAAGCAGTCGCTGCTCCATCCCTGGAAGTGTTCAAAGCCAGGCTGGATGGGGCTTGGAGCAACCTGGGCTGGTGGAAGGTGTCCCTGCCCATGGCCAGGGATGGAACTGGGTGAGCTTTAATATGTGTGAAGCACCAAGCCAGTATAAAAGGTCACTGTGTTCACTTAGGTTGCTGCTAAATTATTTTACTTCCCTGGAGTGCTCTGTATACAGCCATGAGCATCCTTAAGCTGCTTTTCCTCAGATATGAAACCCATATTTATGTGAGCAAAGAGCAGCAGAGTTGACACCTGCAGGCCACACTGTACTTGCTACATGGAACATTTCTGTTTCATTCAATTTAAAAGGAAATCTCTGAATTCACGTGAAGTGTGAGAAAATGGCAGATCAGCTCTGCCAACATCTTACAGGTATCACAGGGAGAGGCTGGAAGATTGGGCTGCTTTGACTCCATCATAAAAATATTTCCTGTGCTAATAGAAAGAAAGGCAAAGTTAGACATAACTGAAAACAAGACAAAGCCCAGCAGCACTTCAGCAATGTGTAGATTTTGTCTCATTTGAGAGTTTGTACACTTTGGCTCTTTCTACAGTGGTGGATTTTGTTTTTGCATACAGAAAGTCACTGTGCTGCTGGTAAGCCTGATCTGTGAGAACTCTGCTGGCCAGGTGAGTGCTCTCCCAACCACTCAGCCCTGTGACAAGGTACTGCATACAGCATGTGCTTCCCTCTGCTCTTCCTAGTCCCCACACTGGCATGAGGAGATGCTCATTGTGGATGTACACACTGCTCTCACACTGAGTGCCCAGGGCTCTGCAAATGGGAAAGGCATGGGAACGAGCTCATAATCCCACTCCACACTCTGGGCTGGCTGCAAACCCCACCCCATCCAGCCCCAATCCTTACACCTTCCCCTCTGGTCACTCTGCAAACCAGGATCAGCCCCTTCTGTTTTTGTTTTTGATTCTCTCTCTTTGCCCCTTCTGCAGAGTGATTCCTTGGAGATTGTTGTCACCATTATCAATGAGAATGATAACACCCCAGAGTTTGGGCAAAAGGAGCTCAGCAAGGTTGTCCCAGAGGTAAGTGTTTTTTGGAAAGGAAGGGGGCACTGAGTCACCCAGTGCTGTGGGACTGAGGAAGGGGCAGCAGCTTCAGCCCATTTCACACAGAGAATAACAACAGCAATGTGGTTTTTCAGGATACAAGAGTGAATGTAACCATTGTGGACCGTGAGGGTTTAACTGCTATCGACGCTGACCTGGACACCATCTACTATGAACTCAGAACCACAGTGCAGGTGAGCATCTTTGGGGGGAAAACACTAGTTCTGGAGCAGGTGGATTCAGAAGAGCCCCAGCTCTGCGACAAAGGTCACTGGTTGCATTTAGCTCTCTCATCTCTCACAAAAATCAGATGTATCTGTTAGCAGAACAGAGCCATCAACATTTCAGGTATTGGATTCTCTTACTGCTCACACTTTTATTGCACTGTGCAGATTAAACTTTCATCTAGGATATTAGGAGCTGTATGACTCAGGGAAGTCTTGTTGGGATGATCTGTAAACATATCATAAGACCTTTGTACCTCAGAGAGCTCAGAATTGCCCTGAGCTGCATAGAGAAAGCAGTCCTTGCCCTGTTTGCCAGCAGCAGCATAGGAAAGGGATTGTGCATGCAGTTAAACTTATGCCAGGCTAGAGTGCAAGGGCTGACTAGAAACTCAAAACAAAAGCAAGTTCAAGGGAAAAACCAAATGTATGTTTTTGAGAAGCACTGTGGAGGGAGCAGGCAGTGCCCGATACTCTGCCACAGTTACCTCCCTGACCCCAGGGGCTGTAAGGGCTGTGAACAGAGATCACTTTTTCTCCATGAATTTCAGCTCTGGGACCAGACCTCGCATACATTGGTGTAAATCCAGAGGGATTTAGAAATTCAGAGGAATTCTAGACAAGACATAAGTGCTAGGCTAAGGCAGCTGATCCTGCCAGCTCCCAGAGGCTGAGCCATCTTGACCTGTTTCATGCGTGGAAGTCAGGGACCCAAAATCAAGGATTGTTGGCAACCTGTTGAGTGTAGGAAATAAATTACATCAAAGACTTCATCCAAGAATTCCTGAGTAGGTGGGCAGGCAGAGCAGGGAATATGGGAGAGAAAAACTCCCAGGAACAAGAACACACCTTTCTGACAAGACAAGCACCTCCAGTGTGTGGTACCAAGGATGAAACGGATCCAGCATTCCCACACTGTCCCCCATTCAGGTCTCTAGGATTAAGGGTCTAGTTGGGATGACAAACACAGCAATAAGCAGGATTTGGAACATGTCTGTGACTGAGTCTGCTACAGGATTTTTCCTTTTCCCTTCCCAGGGCACAGATGGTTATTTTGCCATAAAAGGAGTTAATAACCCTGAAATTTATTTACAAAAAGCACTGGACTATGAGAAATTTAAATTCACAACATTGCTCTTGTATGCAAGGGTAAGTTCTTCGGGAGGAACAACACATTCTTTTTACCTGAAGTGTAAGTCTGAATGGGAGATCTCTGGGATGGCAGGAGGGAGGGTGGGTATTGGGGATGGTGAATTTGGAGCAGCCTTTCACCCTCAGTTACAGTGACAGACTTGCAGTCAGTCCACCTTTGTCAGCAGAAGGATATAACTCACTGCTTTAGCTAATCTCAGGTAAATTAAGCCTTATACAGAAGGAAGTGATAGCGCCTAAAGGGCCTTGGGCCAGTGGTTGTGGCAGACAGGTTCTTCTTAGGCAATAAAACTTGCATCTCACCAGTGGGCTTTGCCTTTGGGTACAGGACAGGCCTGCGACCAGCAGTGAGACTACCAACACAGCCACTGCAACAATAAACATAGCTATTGAGCAAGCTGACACCAGAGCCCCCTGGTTCCTGCCCTGTGTCCCCGTCCACATGGACACCAACACCTGCATCAGCAGCCCCTATGCCGGGAGGGTCATCATCTACGAGATGACGGTGAGCAGGAGGGGCCACAGTGTCCCTGAGGCTGTTCCCAGAGGGAAGGGCCTAATAATTTCTGTGAGCTTGTG